AAAAAAAAAAAAAAAAGAAACAAGGAAAAAAATATCATTTTAATAAACTCGTCTATTCCAAAAATGAATACAGATTACAGCATACCGATCCGACAAATCTTTCAAAGCTGTAGCTGTCAACAGCGATTAAACTAGACAAGATGTGAAATTTCCAAGATTAATAAAGCTGGACAAACAAACCTCCTGTTCGAGTCGACGAACATCGTTGATGGATAGGCCGTACCACTCGTCCTGCCAAACCCATGCCTGAATGTGCGCTCTGAGCATTGTATTTCGCAGGGCATAACTGTGAATCCATCCTTCAACACGGCTTTGTAAACCCCAAAAACGAAATTCAACCTAAATATATGACCGCTGGATAAAAACTTCCAGTTATACAGTTTATGCCGCTTATACGGTTTCAGGAAACATTTAGAGCCAGTATATACCCGACACAGTTTGTAAGCGCACATCAACGGTCGACCTTTAGTGATACATTCGTTCACCCAATCTTTGGTCAAAGGTCCACGGCCGGTTTTAACACTTTTATAAATTTTAGGATCTTCCTCTTCACAGTAATCCGAAGATGATAATGGATCATTTACAATATCAACAACATCTGAAAAATGTTTATTTCTAATGATTACAAAGTACACCAATTATTGAAAAAAGCAGCTCCGTCAGAAAAACAGCTGAGTAAAAATCACATTACAATTAGACAACAGCAATAAAATAGCAATTTTTGCTAAATTAGCTTATACGATTTGTTATTTTTGGGATCTGATGCAATAATTTTCTAAACCACTTATAAATTATATTGAACATAAAAAACACAGGCAAAAATGCAGACTAAAAAAACAACGTTCCACTTTTGCTTAACAGTTTGACTATCAAAAAACAATCACCATTTGAACTGTTCCAGAGAAAAACTTTTCTAATTCCAATAAACACAAGATTGGTTTAGCGATAATGTCTCATGGATCAAAAAAGAACCAAAATAAAGCTACTCTTTTCGATCACTCAGCTACCATCATTTCCATAACAGCGGTGCACAAAAAAAAAGTCAAAAAGTATTGAAAAATTTACCAACAATACGGCTTTCAAGTTCCGTTTCAGATAAGTTAAATACATTTGGTTGACGACCAGCGTCATTAAAATATTTTGTTTCAATTTCAAGTGTTATACGATTAAATGCTGGGCAGTGGTATTTGGTTTTTGTATATGGATAAGCATTCCATGCTTCTTCATGAACTTGTAACGAATCTGTTGGAATGATGCTCCGTACCCAGGCTAAAAAACTTTTTTTTCTTTTGATATTTTACAAAACAGTTGTATTCAACAAATAATATGATAAATGTGCGTGAGAAAAAAAAAGAAACAAAATTCGAATAAACCGCAGCCCAATTTAACTGTACCATATAAAATTGGTAAAACGCAAATCCAACAACTTTTACATTACATCAGTTGTCTGCTATTCCAAAAAATAAGAGCATGTAAAAAAAAAAACCAGGTTTTTTAAGATGCCTCTAAAAACGCCTAAGTAGCAAAGAAAGAAAAAAAAATAAAGTAAATTAAAAATAATCCTTCAAATAATCAAATAAACAGCACTTACCAGGTATCCGTTTACCAAGATGATATATTTTATAAGTATATTGACCAGAACCACCAGGTCCACTGCTATACGGTTCATTTTTCTTGATTTCCACTCCACTACCCTCTCCATGGCTTTCTAAACGACTTTTCTTCTGCAACAAAAAAAAATCTTGTTTGATAGAAAACAGTTTGAATATGCTAAATATTTTGAACAAATTCTCCTAATATAATACCAGCATCAGCAGCTTGAAATTTCTGAATAAATAACTGATGCCAAACAATTGTTATCATACAGATGAATAATTAGCATCTTGAAAAATAAATTTTTAACTACCAATATTCAGACTACTTTTGCACAAATTTTTAACAGTAAAGACAATGGTGTAAGTGATTGTTCCATCAGATAAGCACCAGTTTTCTTTTCTCCTTCAGTATCCGTC